TGACTGATGCTACTTACATCAAAGTACTGGCCCTCCATAAATGGATTCATGCTCATTTCTCTCTCCTCCTGGCCCCAGTTTCCTCCAATCATACTGTTTCTTACAACAATTCCTTCCTTGACTCTGGGATTGATGTGGAAAGCGATGTCTCGAGATCTGCTCACCAAAAAGTTGATGCTTAATCTGAAACACACATCCATGAGCGTTAAACATTCATGTTAGCACTTTAGTACTGCACTAGAGATTTCGGCAAGTAGTCTTAAAATCACACACTTGTGTGCTCCATAGGGAATCATGCCTCTGATGACGATGGTCCTCTTAGGGAACATCCCTCCTGGGATGATGTTGGAGTAGGGCACAGGCTTAAATACAAGATGAGATATCTTATATGAGTATTACAGTATTACACAGTAACACAGGTGGCCTTATAAGAGGTGTACATAACCTGTTGATGGTGTCCTAAAGGTTACAGTCTGGTGTCTAATGGGATTGAAGTCTTGTTTGACAAATTCAGTGATTGTCAAACTTTCTTTGTTATGCATCATTTCAGAAACCAACAAAAGTTCAAGCTTCACAACCCACATGCTTTTCTTAGTCATAATAATAGAAAAGGTAAAATTGAACATTTTCATTAAACAAAGTTCAGCATGTGAGCTCATCTTGTTTATGTTCTCTAAACAATCGATCTTCATTTGACTAAATTCGCCTCATAATTTCAGATTTAATCTTTCAATATAATACCCGTGGAGTCAGTGACTGGACTGAAAGTTAAGTGTTATGCAAATTTTACTTACAGGGTTGTAGACTGGCTGCCCACTCATACCCTGATTAGTAGATAGAAAATATGAGTAGGTTTAGCAAATGTGAATATATATGAACTGTGTATAAAAAGAACATGTCGATTTTTGTGCATTGTTCTCACCGGCAGATTTGAGCCTGGAAAGGTGCCCTTAAATAATAATAATAATGATATTAATAATAAGAAAAAGAAATACAAAAACAAAATGAAAATGAAAATGAAAGATAAATAAAACTTAAATTAAGATTTTTGTGATAAAAATTCAGCTTGCACAGATTATTTAAGTTATAACATAATTCAATACCCCCATTCCACCTCCCATGCCTCCTGGATATCCATCCTGCAAGGAATTAATCAGAAGTTTTAAAATTACTTTACTGTGTTACATATGTGTGACCTACATTTTATAATATAGCAAATGTAAATCTGAGGAATGAAAGTATTTTTTACCCCCACGTCACCTCCTGGATATCCTCCTGGCTGAAATGTTCAAACATGTTTGTTTAATGATGTGTGTACTAGCATGTTATTTGAAAACTTACAGTGGCCTTGTCAAAAGCAAATGTTCAGTTACTCAGTACACTTACTCCCATTCCTCCTCCTATGCCACCTGGGTAACCTCCCTGGAAGTCAAAAGAAACACAGTGCAGTTCAAATGTGCAGACTTCCTCTCACTACAGCTCCAGTAATATTTAAAGAAA